CTTAAATTATTAATTTTAAAAAAATTATACTTAAACCATTTTTTAGCGGACATTTTTTCCAGCGGACCTTTTTCGAACTTGAAAATAATTTCCAGCGATTTCTCTTGGTCGATTTACTCATTAGAATTTTTTTCCCAAAGTTATACGATAAGTAGTTTCTGAGATACAGCCGGTGTCCATTCTTAGTTGGCCACCCGGTACATGCGTTCAAAAACGTGCATACAAAAACGTCAATGTGTATGCACAGAAACGTCACGTTTTTGAGTGCACATTCATTTCGATCAACGCTCATGATTTCTGTCGACGACAGAAATTTTGTACGTGCACGCAGGATTTTCTTGCCAGTCTCAACGTGTGGATGTGAACTGTGCGTCGCACAACAGTAGCGTCGATTAGTCCCACAAGCTGCAGCGTTCTGTTTATTTGACTCTGCTAATAATTTCTTAGTAGAAATGTCTGATTGTAGAACACTGTCCCGTGAATTCCTGTGGGAATTTATTGAATTGTACAGAGAAATGCCCTGTCTTTGGCAAGTAAAATCCAAACAATATTTAGATAAAACTAAAAAAAAACGAGGCTTACGCAAAGCTGGTTAGGAAGCTACAAGTTGTTCAGCCAAACGCGACTAAGGCTTCGGTTATAACTAAACTTAACAGTCTTCGGGGAGGATTTGGAGGAAGGGAACATAAAAAGGTTGTTGACTCCAAGAGATCTGGTTCGGGAGCGGATGAAGTGTATGTTCCTTCACTTTGGTACTATGACCAAACCTTTGGCGTTGAAGAAGCCACTCTTTACACCACATACGGCGCGGTTAGGAAGTTTTATTTATTTAGATTAGGTTAGCTTTTTAACTTTCGTTTGAAGCACAGCAGTGTACGCCACTGCTGCCAATGCTAACTCAACCACTTCCTTGGACATCGCTCTAAAACACTGTGAATTTGCAGATTTTGTATGTGCATCTGTATGCTGTGCTAGTACACGTTTTTGAACGCGCGTTCATAAACGCCTACAAAAACGTCCGCCTGTAGGGGCCTATACACTGTGTAAAACCGGAAATATAGGCGATACCAATTAAACTTTTAGTTACGTAATCGAGGGCGCGATTTTTAAATAAATTGTTGCTAACCATGGACATATTTGAAGGAACTAATTTATTTATATTGTAATGTTTTTAGTTCGTTACATGCCTTTTTTATATATAATATATGATGTCTGGCCTATCATCACCGGATTCCCTCTCGTTCAGGCCGGATAGTTTATTTGACGCGTAATTTTTACGTTCCCTAGTCGGCAACACTGTTATCGTTCGACACAACCTTGTTACTATTCTGTGGAGGCGCGCGCTGTCAACATCGCTTCTGTCAACTCTCTGTTATTTAACGGCACTTTTGGTTTGACCGTTTGGCCTGTCAGACGCCATTAGTCCCAGTTTTTTAGAAATGGTGATTATTTAAATCTTGCTGTATAATTTGAATCAGCTGCTATTTCGAGGTTACAGGTAAAGATGAGGTATTACCTTTTATAGATCCGATATTATTATTGAATTTTTTTAGGGTAGAGTTACGGATGTCCCAACTTGTATTTGTGTTTTGCTGGCACGTTGGCGTCCCTTTTCTTTTGTCCTCCAGAATGTCACATGGAAGAAAGGACATGTTGTTTATTATTTATTGAGCCCTCGGAAGTATTTCGAGGTAGGTTTATTTTGTTTATTAGACCTTGTTTGGTTTTAAACAAGAGTTTCATATTTTTAGGTCCAAGGTACGACTGTGTCCAAGGTACGGGTAGTGTCTTATGTACGGACATTATCTTACGTAATGGATGTCCTGTGGACGAAAGTGTCCCAAGTAAGAACGATTTTTCTTACATATAAGTGCCATTGGAAGGTGGATGTAGTTTGAGTCCCATGTTGCTTTGTTCCCCAGCTGTAAGCCAGTTAGTTACGGCTGTACTCAATTCATGGTGCCCTCATTCTGGCCCCTTTGGTTGTGTTATGGCCAGTTGGTGAGGAGTGAGACCAATTCTACGCTGTTACTGTTTAAAGTAAGATTATATAAAGAACAGCGGCAGTAGATTTAAGTTATAGTTTTACATTTTAACATTTAAAACATTTACAGTCTTAAACAATAATCTACATCTTAAATAATATCGCACAGGACTATGTTTAGTGGTTAGTTGTTAAGAACATTCATGTCGATTTAATATTTAATATAAAAATTAATATTAAATATAATTTAGATCTTAGGTTTCATTGCATTACATCTGTAATGGTATTACTTTTTATAGATATTATTATCGCACTATATTAACAGAGGAATAACCAAACATAGATTCTAGAATCTACAGGTTGCAATATTCTTCGATTAGCATCATATATGGAATATATCAAATAATTAAAGTAATGCTACATTTCATATATATTCTATTGGGCTTACATGTCTTGTATTTCATTGTAGTTGTTTTCATTGATATTTAGTACCTAATTTTACCACCACTTTGACATATAACTACTCGGATATTTATTAGAACTCTACAATGTCATGTACCATCTAAAGAACATCATGAATAACTATAGTCATTAGTTTTAAGTAATATACAACTGTGTTTTCTTTCTCTGTACATGCCTGGCGCCCAATATTTATAATTTCGAGTAATTATTGTTAATTAGTTTCTTTCCAGTGAAATACCTTATCCCCGACTGCTCTACCAACGAAAAGCTGCCGTTCGCAGTGATAATGTTTAAAAAAAAAACGCTACAATATTGCTATCGATTTCAGCTCCGGCACCGGCACCGATTTTGCCGACGTGTGTAAAAGCGCTCTAACTGGAATTTAAATTTTCCGGTGGGGATTCAGGGGCCCGATTCTGTAAACATATTTCCTGTCTAATGACTCTTCCATCGTATAAAAATAGCATAGGCTAGACAGGAAATGTCTTGTTACGGAGCTTACAGAATCCCACTGCAGGTGGTTAGCTCTGCTGTAAAAGATGTCAAGTTGCCACATTTACTGTAATACTTTATTTTTTTTACTAGGAGACTTTGTAGTCGTACATTGTTCTTTTTAAAACGTATTTTAGTGCGAAGTGTACAAGATAGCTTAATAGTCGTTGCAAAAAACTCAACGCAACCTTAATAGAATAATAACTGTTTAAACATTATTACGACACGGGTATTAGCAACGATGATTTACAAATTGTGTTTTTCGATGAAGGACCATTAGAGGCGTCAAGGTGGTCAATTTACAAGATATGTCCTCAGCTGTATTTTTAAATGGAACACTCCTGTATTATTTTTAGTTTTCTACGATTGTGTCAAGGTAATTTGGATTAAGATTTATTATACTTAAATTTTTTGAATATTTCAATTTTAGAGTATGTTTCATTTTTCCGCGGCACGTTTTTACTAAATATTTACTGATCAGTTGCAATAATAAAATATCATACCAGCCTAGTGCTCCAGGCTTATTTTAATATTAGTTAAACGGCATAACTTGTTTAATTTAGCTGAACATCTCTGTATATATGAGAATCAGAGTATCAACGAATTTGCCCACTAAATTATATTATACCATTTTTACCTATCTCTTTAAGTTTCCGTAGAAAATATTTTCTTGTAATTTAGAACTTATTTATCAATATACCCATGACTATTGACATTTTAGATTATTTTTAAAGATGTACCAAATTTTTAAAGAGTACAGATACTAATATTGTCGATATAATTCGTTTATTTCATTAAAAATAAAAAAAAACTTTTTAAATATTTGTTAAAGAGGACCACTAATATGATTCCAGTATTCAAACTACATTAACTGACTGTTTGCGTTGATTAATAATAATTGCTCCAAATACTAAAAAAAAACTGAATTTGTATGGGCATTAGACAGTGTGATAAAAAGTAACACCTTAAAAATGATATTTCATTTTTAATAAATGCTTATTTATAACAAAGAGACTTTAATTTGATAACTTATTATTAGATTTCTTGACTAAATCCACATTTATTTTATAATAATTCTTATTAACGAACACAATTAAGTATGTAATAATTAGTATATGGCGAAATACGGTGTTTATATTTAATTACTTGGTATACCTTATAAAAAAGATTTAAATAGTTTTCTTTTACAGACTAGTAATATTATCGTTTTTAGCAAAACGATAATATTAGATTTGTTGCTTTAAAAACAATCTAAAATGTCAATATTCCATGGATATATTGATAAATGGGGTCTAAATTATAAGAAAATGCATTTTCTACGAAAACTTGAAGGGATAGGTAAGAAATAGTATAATACAATTTGATAGACAATTTAATTGTGCATCTGATTCTCCTAAAATATACAGGGCATTCTATTTTAAATTAAAGAAGTTATTGCTGTTTGAAGCTAATAATTATTTAAAATAAATTTTAGACACTCGTATAAGGTAGTATTATTTTTATTATTGCAACACAATAAATGATCAATAAATAAACTTCAGTAAATATTTAGTATTAAAAACATTGATACCTTGGAGAAATGAAGCCTTAAAATTTTTACTGTAATTTCAATAAAATTGAAAATATTTCAAAACGGTAAGGTTTAAGTGGCACAACCTAATCAAATTTACCTTTATTTTAATCGTAGAAACCAGTCAATAATATACAGGGTGTTCCATTTAAAAATACAACTTTGATATTTTTTATTTATTTGGGACACTTGTATCTTGTAAAAATATTTTAAATTGTAGTCACAGTCCTTCAACGAACCCCAAAGCAATTTTGTAAAATCTCTAACGTCGTTTAGCTACAATACTCCGTGTCGTATGTGGTGAACGACCCTGTATATTTATAATTAATTTATTTTTGTTTCTTAAAATATTTTGACTAAAATAAAATATGTAAAAGTGGGCAACGCTGTGCTGGTCAAGCTTAATCACGTAACTAAAAGTTCATTTGGTATGATCTATATGTTCCTTAGTATTCTGAACAATAAGCACAATAACAAAACACAATATTTTACCTATTTTAGTTAAATTCTTCAGTATAGTATAGGCTCTCTCAGCTATAAAACTATCCGGATGTTCCTTTTCATTTTCTATCGTCAGGCCTTTGGGTAACTGTTTTTCTATGATGATGACCAGCGCGAAAGTCACCAACATCAGCCCCATAACACCGATAAAATGTGCGGTGGGCAACGGCTTGTGAAATTTTACATCCTCATCGTTCAATTTCGTGTACTTTTTGTTTGCGGTCTGGCTAGTGAACCTGTTCCTCACCGAAGACATTTTCCTAAAAAACAATCACATAACAGTTAGTATTAGACACAGTAAAGTAATGAATGAGTAATGAAAATTGATCTGTCAGTTTTGACAAGTTGGAACCATAAAATAATAAATACAAGAAGAAGTGTCAAGTCAATGTTAAATTATGGAAACAGCGTGGCTGCCTGGGTAACTAATTTTCAGATATGGCGGCTGAGACATTTGACATGACATAGACATGACAATTTCAATTTTATGAAATTTATTTCCGTTTCCGGTTTTTAATGGCGGGGCTGTTCAGGAGGTTTAAATGAGGGTTAATATACTTTACTTCTAGTAAAATAATAATACAACAAAATAACTCAAAAATATTTATTTTGGAATTTAGAACAATGGAATATGCAAATCAACATTAAAGAGCTATAATCCAAGAAACTACTGTATCAATATCAAATATTTAAATACTCAGAGATGCTGTAAGTTGCTTGAATTAGTAAAGTAACAGTGCATTGACTTGCTATGAAACTTGAAGATAAATAAATGTTTTCACAGCTTCACGGACATAAACTAAATAACTGAAGCAGGAAAAAGGCAACTGAACCCACAAAACCTTGGAATCAAAAAATATAAAAATATAAATATAGGTACATTCTTGTGAATTAAATCAAACAGGACTTAATGTAAATAAATGAATAAAAATATAATATTATATACATTCAATACCTCTACTACTTTTAAAAATAATTTACATACATAGATTTATAGCATTACAAGCTATGAAATACATAATAGGTAAATCTATGTGATATGTAATTATTATCTGTTCATCTTGTAGAAAATTAATGTAGGCTAATAATACTTCAATAATCATAATTCTTGTATAAATTGTTTAGTCGCCTTAAAATCACTGATCAGTCTTTAAAGTAGAGACATAAGGAAAAATCCTTGGCAAAGAATATCCCAAGATCCTTGCTGAAGTTAAAAAATATAAAAACAGTTAATATATTACTCATTTTACATATAATATGGGTCTATACCTACTACACGCAGAAACGCTGATCATCATTTTCTTCATGTAATTAATATCATATATACTTTATTAAAGTGTTAACAAGGAACTTTATATCAAAACATCTTTGGTATTTATAAATTCCAGCCAAATATCAGAAACAAACTTCCAATCTTAAACGGCAAAATTAAATGGCGCCTGACCTTGCCAGAGGTACCGGAGCTGACGCTGACACACAGAAAAAGACAAAAGAACAGGACGCCGACGTGCATAAAAATGTTCCGTAGCAGAAATTGACAGAAATCATATAGAAATATTCAGATTTTTGTCTAGGACAGTCTAGAAGGCCATGCTTTCTGCCTGGGTAGAACCGCGCCACAACTGTTTCCAATTTTCCGGTTTACTGTCACCCCCCTGATTGGAACTAGTGAAAATACAGGGTGTCCGAATATTTCGTACTACGAATTTTTTGAATCAAAATAAATTCATTAGGAACAATTTACCGCTATACAATAGTGCTTCGTTTCAAGGGAAATTCCCAGGGAGATCTAGGGGGAAAAGGGAAATTTTAACCCAAAGCGCCATATTCGTGGGAAATTCTAAAGTCATTGTATTATTCGTAAAAAAATAGCATTTTGCATTAAAAATAGTATAAACGCAGCAAACTAAGTAAATTGAACCATTTATAATGATAAACCATAGACAAACAAATAAAAAGAGATTGGCAAATTAAATGGCAAAGAGAGGGACAACGTTCCCGTAGCGCAACTCAGAACGCAAAATTTCGTTCTATTTATGTTGATCTGCGCATTGCGTCTATTGGGCACACTATCTCATTCTAATATAACAAGAGAGAAAGAAGCAGCCATATAAAACGTAATTTCTAAATAGAAATTAGAACAATCGCTCTTCGTTTTCGTTATCATGACAACCGATGACAAACAACATCATGACAATTCGTCATATTTATAATTTTTTTTGACGATTTATTCTTTTTTTCTAAACTTCCATTTTATTGACTACATATGGATAGGGAACAAATTCCTTGTCTCAGATAGGTATTTATATTTTTGTTACTTATAATTTTAGTTTTTACTATTTGTTATTTTATTTGAAGGTAAGGAGCCAGTATCATCTATTTTTTTATATGTATTGGTACCCCTCTTTCTGATAGATAAAGACACCCGGTAAAATAAAAGTAAGTAGTTATATTTATCATCTTATTAAGAAAAAGTAGAAGTTAGTAGTGTCAAAATATTTCGAACCTTGTCTTAACATAACAAATTAATACAATGATTTTTCATATTTTGGGTAGGTAGTCAGAGTAGCTGGTTTATCAGCTGCAAACTAGAAACTTATTAATATACCTATTTTACTTTTGGATTTAGATTAAAACTGGACTTGAAAATGGTCTTGTGAACTGATTCTGTAAAGTCTTCGCTGGATATTCACTGTTATTTAATTAGGCAGTTTTTTCCTGAAAATGAGATTTTTAATGCCCTTTAAAAATTGGCTGACTGTTTCTGCAACAGTCAGTTCTTCTGCATTTAAAATTACAGTAGTGGGTGGAATAAACACTGCTATTTTTTGTTATTATATTATAAAAGTTTATTTATTTTTATGTATAAATAAATATGTTTATAAACAGCACAATTTTTGTTTTTTATAATTTCCTTATAAGTAGTATCTGAAAGAAAACCGTAAATTTTTTGTTTCAAATCCGATTTATTCCCTACACCACGTTCCCTTTACGTGGTATAGGGTATAAATCAGTTTAAGTGAAAATTTTCAGTTTCAGAATGTAAAGACTAACATGGTTAGCGAAACGCGCGTCCAGTGTAAAAGTAAAAGTGTTTTGGTGTATTGTGGTGATTTAGTGTTTTTATTTTGCTGTGTAACACCAAAGGTTCCAACCCTCAACTGTAACATCAACATTGGTCCGATTCTGCTTTGTTTCGTAGCTACAGGGTGTTAATATCTTAATAATCTTTCGATTTAGTATAATGTTCTTCCAAGTACTTTTATTGATTTGAATGAAATTTTGAAGATTAAAGTCACTATGAGTGTTATATATTTTAATGCTAAAAAATTGGCGCCGGGAGGCACGTATATATAGCCGCCCATACTAAAATATGTTAATATCTCAAAAACTGCGACTTTGACTGATTTTGATGTTATTACAAATTTTGTTGCAAATATTATTCCTAATCTTAATTTGAAAACCGCGTTTCGCTAGCTACTATAATTTTGGAGTTACGATTTTTAAAATTTTAACCCTCCCATACCCCCTACCAACCCCCCACCCACCAAAAACTAATGGTCAGATTCTCGGTGCCACATTTGTGCCAAATTTGGTTAAAATCGGTTCAGCGGTTTTTGAGTTATCGTGTTACAGACGGACAGAGACAGACCATGAAAATATTTAATTAGTCATCATGATCAAATAATGCATTTTGAGTGAATTAAAAAAAATAGGTCAATGCTTAGGTCATAAAAATCTGCTTAGCAAGGAAAACCAAAATACGGAGATCAAAAACGCAGGATCCATTTGGCATGGGTAGCATTTGAACATGAGCGATATTTCATGATGTGCTGTGCCCATGAACCTAAAGAAAAAAGGCTTACGACAGCTGCATTCTACCTGTGCTTACGTGCATGGCTTAGAGACTATGGCAATTACTTCCTAAAACAGCAGAACAACTACGAGGCACAAAGAGCCATGGAAAGAATCGTGTTGGTCACCATTGAAAATACGGAATACCCACATACGTCAAAACAAAAATAATAGATGTCGTTAAAAGAGTGGCAAGTCTGAAGTGGCAATGGATAGACATGGCAAGACAGATCCAGACCGATGGCCCCAAAAGTAATCCTATGGAGACCTAGGGGAACAACAAAAAGTGTGGGCCGACCAAAAAAGAGATGGGTCGATGACGTCAGGGCAGTTGCGGGAAGACAATGGATAAGATTGGCTAGAGATCGCGAAGCAAGGAAAAACCTAGAAGAGGCCTATATCCAACACTGGATGGAACCAGGCTGGGAAAGAAGAAGAAGAAGAAGAATATTTTGTCCAATTCGGCCTCCTTGATGAGATTTAATTTCGGAAAATGGTTCTTCTAATATTTAACTACATTTTTTGTCTCTTGGAAAAAAACGCCAGCGGGCATTCTTTTTGAGGAAAAAATATATGTTTCTCCGAAGCTGACTTACAAAATTATTTCTTTTCAAATCAAGCGTTATAAAATCTAGAATGTGCTAATAATCTAGTTGGCGAAAATATGGAATTTAAGGTTAGTATCTCCCAAATGAAATTTGACAATAAATTTCATAAATTTTTAATTAATTACCGTTCGGGTTTATTTTTGATTGATGCTCTCTAACAGACAAATGAAGCACTTTTGTATAAAGATAAATTGTGTTCAATTAACTTAGTTTGATTAAAAAAATATGTAGTTGATCTATGTCCACAGAATGCTGAAAGTCCCTGTATATTTTGTAGGTTTGCTTTGGAAAAAAATTCTCCAAAAATATATTTCTCAAAAACTATGCTATGATGTGGCGTTTTTTAGAAGAGATAAAATATGTAGTAAATACTAGGAGGACCGTTTTACCGGAAAAATATCGGTCATCGATGGAGTTGGAAAATATTTTTAATAATCTTTATGGAAGGGTGAAAACTACCCCTAAGTTTTCACCCTTCCCGTACTTTTTCTTGAGTTTGGTGAAAGTTATGTTAGAGCTCTTAGCAAAACACTCCAAATCTTAATAAAATCGGAATAACGGTTCTTAAAATCTATACTAATAAGTGACTGACTCACTGATTAATCACGATCCTGCTCAAACCACTTAACGTAAGAAGCTCAATTTTGGCATACAGGTTGATTCGAGGGTGTAGAGTTTCGATAAGAAGGGATTTTTCGAAATTATAGTTCCAACCCAAGTAGCAAATTTTATTTTATAAAGGCTGTATAAACAGCTATGTGATAATTTTTATAGGATACCTCAATTCATATAACGTGCTATATGACCGTAATATGATAGCTTTAGAACAAAAAAAGCCCATTTTTATACAACCGTTTAGTAGTATAGAAGTTCTATAAAAAGGGTATACAACTCTTATGCAACTATTTTACACAGCGTTATATGACTATTATAAAACTAGTTTTATTGTGTATTACGTGGTCACATCTAAGAAACAGAACAATAAAAACATTTGATCATTTAGCGAGGTACAAGAGTATTTTATTTTTTACCGAAGAATATTAAGAGCAAATTATATTTTAAGCGTGTCGTAAAATGAATCTAGAGGATGTGGGTTGTTAAAAAGGAGACTTTTAACTTTTTAAAGGAGACAAAAATACGATTTTCAAAAATTCTTGTTTTTCATTTAAGTAAACACTTTATTACTGTATGTGGGAATCTTATCAAAAAATAGTTCTCAAAAATAACATTTTACAATTTATTTTGATGTTTTTAATTTTGCTTCATATAATGGCGGCCATAGGACATACAAAAATGCTGCCTTAAACATGGCGAATTATAATGCAACCATTTTATTATAAATGAATCCCTTAAATAAGTCTTTGTTGTAAAATAAAACGGTATAGGATAAATATTTATCATTACGCAGAATTTCCAGGCACTATAGAACTATTTTGGACATATTGAGATTTGTGACAAATAGATGTTGCCAAATCTCATTTGATTAGTATTTAAGCTAACAAACATGATCAGATTTTCATGGATTCATGCACGCAATGCATTTCATGCGTGCCCGACGAGTGAGCGGCAACCTAAGGACTTGGAAAAACAACAATAAAACAATACCAACATTACTACAGTAAAACTTTTACATCAACGTGGCAACAATGCTTTGAAGAAGCCAGACAACACGAGAGATTTTGGCTTTTGAGAAGTCTGGGAATTCTCGGGATTATTTGCCGTAATTTCGAGGAGTTTTTCTTACATGCTCTTTATAACTACCACTGCGTTTGTTAACTTTTTTCCAACTTTGTCGAGAATTCATAATAGCTGTGATTGATTATACTCGTACGTAGATATTACTTTTGCAACAAAATAAATAACTAGGTATACCATTTAATTTAAAATGAGGTTATATTATACATTACCAGTTTTATAATGTAGATATTACAGCGAATTTATTTTGTTAATGACAATTTATTATATAACAACAACACCAGTTATATAGCCTTATATTATCATATAAGGCTATATAACTGGTGTTGTATACAGCATCGTAGTTTAACGCAATTAAACATTCTATCATGCAACGTAATACAACTTTAATAAGACAAGTTTAAGTAACTGTTATATGATCTTGTGACTACTAGTTATATGAATATTATAGAACTCTTACATGGTGGGTATAAGAGTCTAATAAAATAATATGTTTGTTATCATATAGCATTGTCTTATTAAGTGTTACATCATACTAAAAGAAATGATCGTTTAATGCGTTATAGGATACGTTGTAAAAATCTCTAGAAAATAGTTTAATATGGCAACTTTTATTAAAAAACAGAATGGTCGAAACCAACGCTTAATAAAATCAAGCAGTCCTTAAGATAACGCTATTCGACTGTTATAAAATAATTCAATCCTTTTAGAATTTCTTTTTGCTACTTGGGAAGGGGTTGAAACCACACCTCAAATATTACAATATTTTTTTTATTTAAAAATGGTCAAGTTTCCGAAAAAAACGCTTAAACACGTATATTTAATTTTGTTTTTTTTACATATTTTAAGAATTTTTAAAAATGTATACAGGGTGTTTCGAAAAATCTGGTCATTGATTAATCACGATCCTGCTTAAAGCGCTTGACGTAAAAAGCTGATTTTTGGAAAACGGATTGACTTTAGGGTGTAGAGGTTCGATAAGAAGGGATTTTTCGAAACTCGAATTCTAAGGGGCTGAAACCACCCCTCAAATATTAGAATATTTTTTTATTTAAAAACCGGTGAGTTTTTCGGAAAAGTTCTTAAACACATATATTTTATTTTGTTGTTTTACATATTTTAAGATTTTTTAAAAATGTATACAGGGTGTTTCATAAAATATGCCCAATGAGTAATCACGATTCTGCTTAAACTGCTTGACGTTTAAAGTTGATTTTTGGCAAACGGATTGACTGTGGGATATAGAGGTTCGATAAGGAGGGGTTTCTCGAATCTCAAATTCCAAGAGGGTGAAAATGCCCCTCAAATATTACAATATTTGTTATTTAAAAAACGGTTAGTCTTTCGGGAAAACGCTTGGACACGCATAATTTATTTGTTTTTTTACATATTTTGAAATTTTTTAAAAAATCATACAGGGTAATCAAAAAAGTTGGATAATTGATTAACCACGATTCTGCTTAAACTGCTCGACGTAAAAAGCTTATTTTTAGCAAACGGATTTTTCGAAAGTCAAATTCCAATGAGATGAAACTACCCCTCAAATATTACCAAGTTATATAATAATATCGCCATATTGTTTTTTCTCATGCTAACATAAATGTGAGAACACTTTTTCCAGTTTGTATGTTAATGGAAAATCTTTCCTTGCTTTATCATCACCATTACAAATGATTAATTCGACGCGAATGAAGTCGCGGGTACACGCTAGTATCTTAATAAATGTGTTTAATTTTTGACAAACGAAGCACTTTTGTATAGAGGTAAATTGTGTCCAATGTTTATAAAAATGTCCAATGTTTATAAAAAAGTAGCACAGCGATGTGAAAACCGCATCTTTATTTTTCTAGTCACAATAAACTACAAATCCCATATAACACACGAAAATGGAATAGCCTGTACTACAACTTAGACTATTTTAATATGATTAGTTATGAAGAAAACACCTTCAAAAATCACTTCTATTTAAAAATGATCAATAATAATCAGCGATTTTTTAACTCTCAAACGGCTTTAAATGTGTAGAACATTTAATGTAAAAACGCATATTTAAAAATAAACATTAAGCAGAGATAATGGTATTCTTGAATATTTTGTATAAAAATAACAGGCTTTCTAATGAAATATAATATCAAATTGGCTATGGGACCACCTCCTTGAGGCTTAACATTAACTCTTTTAAATTTGAAAACGTCGAATTTTCAAAATCAAAGTAATTAATCCAATTAAAAAAAAATAATACCTGCCAACTTTGTCACTTTTTTTATTTTTATATTAACTCATTATTTTTTCTAATATACCACTTTTAATTTCTATTAAATTTAAGTCATAAAGATTATAGAACGCTTTCAACAATATACATAAATAGATGTTTTCTGTTTTGTCCTAATTAAAACTCATGCTTTATCAACAATAATGATTTGTTATATTAAATATGTTCGTTGTCGTACACATACAGGGTGTTCCTTAATGACATGCTAATATTTAATGAGTAACTAATACAATTAACTTTTGATTATTGTCAAAGACATTGATGTGTTGAAAATCAGAAGTATTACATTTAATATGCAATCATAAATTAGTTTCTAAGTACTTTTTTTTTCTCTAAACACCGACAATTATACATCAAATAAAATCAGAAATAAAGTACAAAGTTATAATTTGTATTTAGGTACTTAAATAAATTTAATGAATCGAAAATACCCCTGGCTTTTAAATATTTTATTAGAAGTAAACCATTAATATCACTGATAATTCTAAAAATATAAAGCTATAAATACTGTCATTGTGAAAAAATATTTAATTAATAAATTTACTACCTATATTTTATTTAAAAAGTCTAATGAGATGATTGAAAAATATTGAAAATGCAAAGATAAGGATATCTGTTGATTTGAATATCATTAGACAAAAATAAAGTTGAGCAACACCTCAATAAGAATAATAAAATTATAACAAAGAGTAGGTATTCAGAACAAATTTTGCAATAATAGATTAATATATCGGCTATTTACCTTATTAATGTTAAATCTTACGAAATTAATACTAAACAATATTTATCCTTAGTTTGTAGACAAGATTAAATACAAAATTATAACCAGAACAACCTTTTGGAACAAACGCTTCCTATGGAAGTATGAATAATTTTATTCTATATTTGGAAACAACAAACAATAAAGTATATTAAGGCTTCTATTGATACTAACAATAAAATCTTTGTTGTATGAGTTTAAAATACACAAACAATGGGTGGTTTATTGCAAGTAAAGTATTCCACATTATATAGGTACATTCATCTCATTGCATATAGGTATATGTAGCGATATTATGGTGTATATCGGATCAAATTTCAGACAGAATTACAAATAATGCTTGTAATTCTTTTACTTTTAGTTCTCTTTAGATAATAATAAAAATATAATGACAAAAATTTATAAAAAATTAAATCATTATTAAACGTCTAAATAAATGCCTTTATAAAATAGGTCAAACCACTAAAAATATTTTCTATATTATTGAGCTGAAACTAATTTCAATATAATAGAAGAAAAATATAAATATGTACAAGAATGATAGTAATTATTCGGGCCACAATTAACACAACAAAAGCAAGTACTTATAACTTCAATAATATATAAATGAATAAAATCAAAGCCATTTAATTACACAGCTATTAAATGTTTATGAATATAAAAGCAATAACAATAAAATTATTAAAAAGCAATTTGACTTACCTTTAATTCAGTTCTAATCCTAATTTAACACCAAAACTAACTTAACTCAATTTTTGTATGTTGCTTAGTGAAAAATAACCTGTATCGAACAGGTTTAATAACTTGTTCCCCAAGAGCAACATACAGATAAGACTTTGGGACGATTAACTGATAAACCTGATAAATAATATAACTTCGAAATATTAATTTGTTGTTGGTTGGAAGATGAGTTTTGCTTCATTGAATAATGCCTTTTAATATGCGCATATTCCACTACCGAGGACTTTGGGTTCACTTTTGACACTGACAAGAAAAATATAACCTCGAAATTTCTGACGTAGGAAAAAGAAAACAAAGGGAGTTGTCATGGAAACTGTGTATAACTGGTTGCAGACCTTTAAGATTTGTATTTGAATTTTTATTTTTCAAGTTAGTGATTTTTTTATTTGTATTTAAATTATTGACAATATATATCTAATTAATTATTTAAAGATATTCTTGTTAATTAATTTACATAATAGTATACCTATACAAATTTATTTTTAAGTAAGAGCGTGAAATAAAAATACATCAAATAATATAAAATATTTTTTATTTGGAATTGCCTAATACTAGGATACAAAATATAGTTTTAGAAAAAGAGTTACAAACTTAACTTAATCAGAATTAAAAGTCAGAATAAACCGAACATTATATTAATGTGACAAATATACCTATATATCGAAAAAAAAACGGCGTCATAGATGGCTTGGAAATGAATACTCGCATTTTATGTGATTGTCCACTTGACGCCATTTTTTCGATTTCTCTGTATACACTCTTAGTATATATTTAAAGTTAATGATTTTGGTTTTGTTTTTATTCTAAATCTACTTAGAACTTGGACGACCAAGTAATGTTATATTGCTGAGAGGAAAATTACTGGAACCTTCCTTCATTTCGAAACTATTAATTAATACATTGACAGCCATTATTCCAATATTGGTACATAAAATAATATTATTTGTTTTGTTTGCTGTTGTGCAGTCGCCTTCTTTGTTGATGTTGTAAGCTGAACCCAGGACAACACATAAGCATGCTTGAACGATCTTAAGAAAAAAAAATAAAATAAAATAAATAAAAATTATAAAAAATAAATAATATAAATAAAAATAAAACAAGAAAATAAATAATATAAATAAGAATAAAACAACAAAATAAATAGAGTGCAATACAGTTTTCGAAACCCCTTTGGTGACGGCATTTAAATTTTTGTTATAAGTCAAGGTCCCACGTCCAATTTTCAATGATCGGCAGTTACTGGCAGCGTTACTGACATTTGTGTAAACGATTAAGGTGCGTCCACATTACTCACGAGTAGGGTTTCCGGAACCGGTGCGGTTTTTCGGAACCGGGAATTTCGGTACCGCGCCTTTTAGGAACCGCGATTTCCCGTTTTTTTCGGTACTTTCGGTACTGACTAATTTTTGTTCAATGGTGGTGCAGTTCATCAATCAGAAAGCAAGGGATGGTTTTCAAAGTAAAATGGATAAAATAATTGAGATTTTTAATGAAAATAATATCAAATTATTAAGTAATCAGTCATGAAAAAATTAACATGGGCACAAACATGAACACAAGTAAAGAAAAAAGTATTTAGGTAACTTAAATTTCACATCAAACAACATAAACCAACTTAAGTGAATTTGAGACAAAAGCCCTAAAATATTGAATTAAAAATGCAAACATCTATTAAAACCGATGCCCGGTGCTGTGATGGCCTAAAAGATCTGAACCCTAATTGGTAGTATTAATTAGAGTTTCCAGAGCCGTCCTAGAATATTTTCATTCAACGATTGTGGAGTTCGTCAATTAGCAAGCAAGGGATGGTTCTCAAAAGTAAAACCGATAAAAAATTGAGTTTCAAATGAAAACAATATCAAATTATTATGTCATGAGAAAGTAAACATGAACACAAATAATAAAGACAAACGAAAAGAAAAGAAAACACATAGGTAACTTAAAAATTACATCAACCAACCTCGAAACCAACTTAACAAAATTTGAAAAAAAACTTAATATTTTCAATTAAAGATGCAAATTTCTATAAAAACATAATACAAAAAATATAACTAATACATTCAGCAATACTATACTAAATAATAAAATAAAGTATTTAAACTTCAATATTTGCTAATAAACATTATAGAAACTTCAAAATAACTTCAGAAGTAACAACAGTAAGAGATAGCATTACTACTTGTTTAGAAGAGTTTGATTTCGACCGCTAGAAAGTGTCAAAAGTCTTTCGCACGTAACAAAAAATATGTTTTTAACTATTATTACCGAGTCCCGAAAGTACCGAAAGAACCGGGAATTAATAATTTCGAGTTCCGATTCTTTGATGTCTCAAAAGAACCGGGAATTTCCGGTTCTGAGCCCTACTCACGAGCAGCCCAAACAAACGCTTCAAACACTATAAATATTAGTAGTGGGAACTATCGAATGAATTCTATCGAAACATTCGATAGTTGCAATTCATTCGAATAATTCGATAGCTAGTAAAAAAACATTCGTTGAAAACTATTCGAATAAAAATTATCGAATAGATGCGTCATCTGCCTTGAAATATTGTATTCTAGTAATTCGGCAGCAAAAACCATTCATTTATGAAATTCATTTATTCGTCAGGATCGATTATAATAAAATATTAACTGGATTTTAGTTGTCGCCTGGCGACGTAGGTTTCTTTCCGAGAAACCCGACAGCGGTCGGTGGCAATGCTATGAAAGAAGCCGGCATCTTTGATTTTTTGCGGAGTCGTATAAAGATAAGGACACATTATTTTTTTTATTGAGGTGCTAGTATTTACACAGAAAATACATTATGAAGGGCGCTGTTGCCATATATTGGTATTAGTTGATATTAGCAAAGAATATTATTGTTTGGCTTTAGTTAGTTAGGGATAGTATGTCTATATATTTTGCATTTTTTTTATTAATATTCTGTTGTTACACTGCAATAATACTTGTTATTTTGGATGTAGGAAAATGATTTTTAAGCAAAGACTGGTTTAATAAAAATAATAGTAATAATTTGTTATACCTATTAACAACAAAATTTAAAATAATTTAATATAAACATTTTTTTACATAGTTGCAAAATATAAACAACAAATTAGATGTCAAAATTATTTATATTAGATCCTATTTAAAAATAATATAGTCTTTAAATTTTTTCGCAACATTGGTTTATTAAATAATAATAATTACAGAACTAATTTGTTATATTAACAACAAACTTTAAAATCATGAAATATAAACATTTATTAATTTTCTAAGCATGCAGTGTAATGGAAGGAAAATATACATCAAAAATTAGAAATCAAAATTATTTATATTAGGTACTTTATATTACTATTTAAAAATAATATTTACTTTTACTGGCATTTACTTTAAAAAATAAATGAAATATTTCTTCGCAAAAAACTACATGTAAGAGAATTAGCATAAACAAAATACAAACATCGTTAACTTTTTTTAAATTGGCACGTGTAAAACTTTCAATTTAATTTTCACACCCCATAGTTTGAGTTCGATAACCATTTACTTAACCACATTACTTAAATATGATTATTAAGTTCAACTAATTCATATTATTAAAACATCTAAAATACAAATATGTATTTTTAAAATTAATTCTAAGTTCATCTCATCTTTCTTAAAAATTGCTACTTCTCAAAATTTCCCATTAAAAAATAGACCATATATACCATATAAAATAAAATAATTGAAAGATCGGGCTACGGAAAATCACACAAATTTTCGGAAAAATTTTGTCAATTAAAAATTAACAATCGTCAATTAAAAAAAACTACTATTTCAGTATTTTAAATATTTTAATAAACGCAAAAATAGCACAGTATTTATAAGGTGAAGTTATAAAAATTTGGAAGAACTAATAATGCACTGACGTACACAAAAATGAAACGAATACTAAATTTCATTTATCAAAAGCATTCGATAGTCGTGGCTCAACGATAACCATTTAGTTGCGCGGCGAGGTTGTCAGATATGCTTTAGTATACAAATGAATGAATGATTTTATTCGAATAAAACCATTCGATAGTTGAAATCATTCATTCAGTAACCATTCGATAGTCTAATTCATTCGATAGTTCCCATCGCTAATAAATATGGCAAGCAGTAGAAGCGAGATTCACCGAGATTAACATCGTTTCCGTTAGTTGTTTTGATTCACAAACGCAATCAAGCTATACTGAAATGTGGATATTGTTGCCTGCGAGCCGAATAATCTTGAGAAATAAGACAACATACGAGAGCAAGCAGAAGAAATACGAGCAATGTGGATCCACCTTTATGAACATTTTGCGCCTTAAGAAATTTGTTTGGGTTTTATCAGCACTGTATCGTTGACTGCAAGTGCAGGATCTAGACCGAAATTCATTTTGATAATGTCGCAGAATAGGGTTCCAGTGACAAAACCCAAAGAAATTTGATTTAGAATAGTTAGAAGCGTATTGATCTTTTCTTGGTGGTAGGTTCTTAAAACGGCGATAAACACCGATAGCAGGCCTGCTGTCACCTGCAGACAAACAGAAAATGTCATTATACAGAGTGTTACAAATGTTTGTGCCATAATATCGAAAAAAAAACGGCCTCATAGACAGCTGGAGAGTGACAATCGATGATAATATTGGCGAAGTCAAGCCCTAGGAGTCATTTACTTAGCCCGCATACTTCTTTATTTTTGCCATTAGTAAGCTGTTATTTATTTTTATATTGAATAAAAATGATTTTTAAATAGTGTAGCGTAAAATTCAAAAAAAAATTATATTTTGAAAATAGATTTGTGTATCTGAAAACATTATTTGTTTTTAATCTTTCTGTAATTAATGTTAATTGTAGACTAGTTTTATGTCAATTTTTAGTAAATGACGTCTAGAGATTGACCTCCCCAAAATTATTATCGATTGTCATTCCCCAACAGTCTTTGACGCCCTTTTTTGTCATACGGTATCTACAAAATCCAACAATTTTCTCCTAACTTTTTATTCATTCTAACTTTCTCTTTCTTCATCTAACTTTGCTAGGCACATTATTTTCAGATAGTAACTTAAGGGGCTGGCTGGAATACTCGAAACCAAAACCGGAAATGATAATGTTAACTACGGAAATAAGAAAAATAAAAATTAAAATAATATCGTTCAAAACTGTAGCTGCTTGGTGGTCCTTAGCTTTGTTAATGTTTAGTCCGCCAATTATGACGAACAAAATGGCCACTGTTAACTAAAAAAAGATAGAAAAAAAAATATATAAGTAACTATTTAGTGCACAGGGTGTCCGAAATTTGAACCTCATCATAATGCGAATTTTTCAAATAAGTGCGATACATGGTTTTGGGATCCTTAAAGTTGTTAAAATCAACGTTATAAATTATTGAGACAGATACAAATACACTAAAATCTTTAAATAAAAAAACGAGTGACAATTTTTTAATAATCTAATAAAATTCTATATATTCATTATACAGGGTGTGTTTTAAATAAGTGCAAATATTTTTAGCGGTATATTTCGACCCCAGAAAAACGATTATGAAGTTTTCTCGCGAAAAAAATGGCAACATAGGTAGTAGGTTAAATTTACAAGAAAGAATCCCCAGAAAAAGGGTCAGTGGTTTCCAAAATTTTAGCAGTACTTGGTCCAAGTATACTTTGATCGTGTCATCCTGTCTTTATTGTCCTAAATTTGATATATCTGGGGCTTCGAAAACTGCATAGCGTGCTATGGTCGGATCAAAACAAGAGATCACGAGATTCAAAACGGTAATTATAAAAGAAAAACCGGTAGTGATGTAGTTCAGACAGATGGCTGTAGAGTGGTAACTTCGTAAATGAAGTCTGCAATCGGACAACAAGTGTAGACTCAAACATAATATGCCGATCAGTACCTTTAAAGAAAACATAATCAAAATTAATTGGTTTATTTTTTCTGTTGTTTTAAATATTGTAAAGACAGATAATTTAGACTATTTCCTTCTCAGAAATGTCGAATGACAATTTATTAATGATTTTTAACTGAAAGTATAA